ATTTTAGAAAGTAAACTGAAAATATTTATCCAAGCCAACTTACAGCTCACTTGAGATGCGACTGGCTTTTAAAGGGAGTTTTCATAATTCTCATTAGGACACAACTAGGCTGTTTTCACCGCTGGCACCCCTAAAGCCAATGAGTCATTGTCAATTACAGTTTATAGTTATATTTGAACTCTTCTTTTTTCAAGACAGTACAGGTAATCTTGGCAGTTTATCCCGACATATTTTAAAATACTTCTGTACATAAAATACCTCATGTATAGAAGACTTGCTAATCCTCCAATTCACCTCCAATCCCAGATACGCTGACTGGGTCATAGATTATCCCTGCTAAGAATGGTGATAAGCTAAGTCTCCATCCTAGAAAGCAATAACTCATTCAGTGCTACATAAGTCTATGCACAGATGTGGCCTTAAACCTCACACAGCAAATGTAGAGATACTAATGAAGAAAGACAAAGACTACACAGGCGGAGGTTGTGCAACAGTACTATCTTCTAACACTAAAGCTCTGAAGGAAGCAAGCCTTTTTGAGTCTTGTGTGTTGCACAGAGGGAGCACCAGATAAAAGCTTGTCAAAGTAAAACATGACATGTGTTAGCTATGCATTGGCTTCATTCTAACCACTGCCCTATCTTAAAAGAATGTTATTTTAAAAAGTTAAAGGAATGAAAGAAAATTTACAACAAAGTTCCTGGTATGTTGTTTGGCTGATTTTTTCCCCAGGGTAACATACAAGGATCCTAGGCCCCCAACAGCTTCTAACGAATAAGTTCTCCAGCAATGATTAGCAAATGCTTTTACTACCGGCTTCAACAGGGCTTTGAGAAGGCTGCCCCCTTGGCGAAGATTTCCAGCGGCAGGAAAAAAGAGAGGGCAGACACACACATTCCAACCCTTTCCACAGTCTCACGAGATATTTAAAACAGAGGACACGCAAAAAACATTTGATTTATTATGGTCCTGTCCACAGCAAAGATGCAGATGCATACTGTCCAAGTACGCTAGGAGAACACAGGTAACGCAGCAGCCCTAAAGACACTGGCTGTTTCACACAGCTGGCAACTACCAGCGAGGACAATGGAATTAGCCTTGGCTCTGTCTGAAAAATGTCAAGAGTCCCATCAATCTCCCCAGGGCAGACAGAGACAGACTTGTATTTAACATCTCACCTACAGGTTGGAGATCTCAGCAGCAGGGAGGGTTGCTGCTAAGGCTGACAAATGCCCAGCCCTGAGTAAAAGGCAGATCAGCCACGGTAAGGCTCTGAGGATGAGAACTGCTCTTCAAGTCCCCTGAGAGCTCATCAGGACCCATCGGGGGTGTGTCTGAGCAATGGAGCCCCGGGGGAGACCGCGACTCAGCTGAGCATCTTTTAACTATGTGAATTTTTAATAGGGGACGCTGCGAACACGTACTTAGCCTTTAGCTGATCATAGGTAAAAAGTCTTAGAATTAGAAAGTTCATAAGGGTCTTCAAAGAAGCCCTCTGGCCCCTCCTAAACTCTTCTTGACTAAACAGCCGGCATTACTTTGCTTTTGGGGTCAGAAACATCGCTGGAGTAGCCACCTACCCGTGGCGGAGTGGTTAAGTTCCCGCGCTCCGCTTTGGCGGTCCAGGGCTTGGCGGGTTCGGATCCTGGACGGGGTCATGGCACCGCTCATCAGGCCATGCTGAGGGGGTGTCCCACATAGCACAACCAGAGGCACTCACAGTTAGGATATACAACTATGTACTGGGGGGCTTTGAGGAGAAAAAGAAAAAAAAAAATCTGGAAGCTAAAACAAAAGAAAAGAAAAGAAACATCCCTGAAGCTCTATTCTCTTGAAGGGAGTGGGTGGGAGGGAAGAAAAGAGAAAGCATGTATGCTTCATTTCACAGAGTATTTAGGAAGAAAATATGTTCCTGAACGTCAGTGCAGAGCTCAGAGCTTTCCTGAAGGAGGGTTAGCGGGGCCTTGTTGCTCAGCTAGTCACTCACTCCCTAGGTCAACAATAATCAAAAGTACACGCCAAGGAAAACCTGCCAGAAAACCATTTCTCTTGACTCCTGACATGTGTCACAGACGAGGTGGGAGCCGGCAGGGCTGGCCCACACCCTTCTGACGACAAACGGGGGCAGAGCAAGCCGGGTTTGGAGAGAACAGACAGAGGAACACACAGCCCTACTTTATGTGGGGGAGAAGAAAGGGCGGGGGAAATACAGGCAATTCTCAAATACGGAATCTTTGCTCTCACTTCACTAACTTACTGGGAAAAGGCTCCTCCTCCACCACGTATCTTTCAAAACCTCTCTTGATTATTAAACATGGAATGTCAATCACACAGTCGCAGCACAGCTGGCAACATCCCACTCCTCGCCGTGGCACTCTGTCTGGCCAGCCGAGAAAAAACCCAACCCCGTCTCCAGTCGGCGCGTTCAATGGCAGCACAACACTAACATTTCACAGATGGCCCCGAGCGCGATACCCTGAGAGCGGGTACGGAACGTTTCTGAATGCGCATTGTCAGTTTCTCTCACTGTCTCCAAACCAAGGAAAAAAGCAAACAAGCGCCAAAGGATGCTCTAGAGAGAGGGAGGGAAGAGCCCGAAACTCCTTCCAGGAAGACAACTGTGGGTCGGTAGAGGGGGCCACAGACGGCCGAACACTGGGGGCAGTTTCAGCGCAAACAGATGTTTGAAAACTGACTACTAGATCCGGGGACACCGGGGGCACAATTTCTTTCAAAAACTACTGGACACACAGTAGTTTCCTAGGTCTTTGCACCGACGAGCAGTCCACCGCGTCCTTCCGCCCCCAACCCCGCGCCCGCGTCCCGCCCCAGCCACTCACCGAAGCGCCACCGGCTCCGCGGCACAAAAGACTCGGAGAGCGCCGCGAGCCCCTGGCCAGCGACGGCCACACAGCCGCGTCCGTCTGATCCCCCGGGGAGCCCCGTTCAGAGTGTGGCGGCAGCAAGAGGGACGCAAGTGGGAGGTCCCCAAGTGGGAGGTCCCCGAAGGCGGGCGCGAGCCCCGGGCGGCGTCTTTATCTGGGCCGCGGCGGGAGGGGCGCGGGCGCGCGGCGGGGAGGGACGCCCACACGCTCCGCGCAGGCTCTGCGGCGGCCGCGCGGCGGGGCAGGGTCGCGTGCCGGGGCGAGGCCGCTGCCTGCCGTGCGGGGACAGCGGGGCCGACAGCGCCGACGCCGGGGCAGGGCTGGACGCGCCAGGCGTCCGCACGTCCTGGAGCAGAAGCAACTGGAGCAGCAGGCGCACCGGTTCGCCCCTCCCGAGGCCCCTCCGGCCGGCGGGTCGGGGCGGGCCATGGTGTCACTCGGCCCCGCCCCCTTGCCCCGAGGGCTCTAGCTTTATACCCGCCCCCCCCCCCACCCCCGGACGGGCATCCCGGGTGCCCGCCCCCTCCGCGAGGGCAGCTACACGAAGCTCCCAGAAGCTGGCGGGTGGCGGGGAGAAACGGGTTGACTAGGGAATGTGTCTCTGTGCTTGGAGCGAAAGGCGGGGGGTCCTCCTGGTTCGCGGACACGGGCTCCACTCTCTCCTCGAACCTCCGCGGTGAACCTCCCCAGGTCCCGGTCACGGTCCCGGGCGCGAGGGAGAAAGCCACACGGCCGCACTGCGGCTCAGCCAAAGGGAGCCTGGAAGAGCCGGCGAGAAAATCAGAGAGGGGAGACTCCTGGCGTTTGGTCGGAGGATTAAACCGAGAGCCCGCTGGCCCCGAGCTGGGGGCAGTGCAGCGGCTGGAGGTCACCTGCCAGCCCACCGCTTCCCCTGCAAACTTCCATGAGCGCAGGGCGCAACTTCTAACTTGAACTCTCACGACCAGAACGAGTGTACCCAACAGAGAGCTGTCCTGTCCTCGGTCTGCATCACCCAGACGCAGCCCTCGCTCAGCCCGCACCCACTGTCAGGAGGGTCAAGTCGTGGCTCTCCGCTGGCCAGGGTTCTGGCGCGGCGCCCCCAGTCGCGCGCTCTTGGACAGGCGGGGATCCAGTAGGGGCGCAGTCTATCCAAAAGCCCTAGCAGCTAAAGCTAAGTCAGTTGACCCACGTCCAACCCGGAGGCGGCCCGCGAGCCCCGACCTAGCTCGCTCTCCGCACGCGGGTCCAGATCCGCGCGTGTTCGCCTCAAGGGATCGATCGCTGTCCTCTGCGTCCTGGGGAATGAAGCCACCAAAGTCCCCTGGGTCGGTGTGGAGGGAGCTCAAACCTCCCCAGCCTTCCCAGTAAGGCTCGAAGGCAGCCGATACCCGGCGCCGCAGCTCCGGGTCCAGGCTGATCCCCGCCCCGCCCCTCTGGAGCCGGGGAGTCTCCGGTTCCCGGTGCCCCCGGGCCGTGGGCGCCCCTGCCTCGGCCGCGCAGCTCACACTCACCGCAGCCGGCGCTCCTCGCTGCGCGCCGCCCGCTGTCTCCCGGCGCTGCCGCCTCTTCCCCGGTCACTGCAGCCCGGCTGCCCGGACCGCGAGGGGGCAGGGCGGCGCGGGGCGGGGCGCAGCCGGGGCCTCAGGTAACAATGCTGCAGACGAGGCTGCTCCCAGCGCCAGCCGCAAAGGACAGCACGCCCTTTCCTGCTCGGCCCCTTCCACCCTCCGAGCTCCTACGTCGGCGCTGAGGAGCTCACCTTCACCTGCGCGGGGCCCCGGGGACCTGGAAGCCGCCACTGGGCACGCTGCTCCCCGCGCGCGAAGGCTGGCGCGGGGCCGGCTGGCCGGCCACCGAGGGAAGTAGGGGTGGCGGGGGAGGGAGAGGTGCCGACTGCGAAGAGCCAGGTGTCCTCGTGGAACCAGCAAGGGGAGGCGCCAAGCTGGCTTCTGAAGCGGCAAGTGCCTTCCACAAAGGAGCCTCTGCGGCAGCCTCCCCGGCACCCTCCCCTGCGCACACGCGCGCACACACACGTGCGCACACGCACACTCATGCACGCCCACACAAACGCGCGCCAGGCCACCTCTGCCGCGCACTTGTTTCTCCCCGGAGCGCTAGGCAGCGCTTGAGTGAGCCGTCCTAGCCCGTGTAGCAGAATCCTTGCTGGGCAGAGCTTCCCAAAGGTCAGCTCCTCCCCGGGGCCTGCAGACCTGTAAGTTTGTTACTTTTTTTTTTTTTTTTTAAATCGTCTCAATGATGCTGGTAACAGGGAGCTTTCGGTTATCTTTAAGCACAAAAAAGAAAAGAAAAGCTCCACTCCAAGCCTGATCGCATGAACAGACGCTGTCTGGGAAAGGCTTCTCACAGGAGGAAACCGGGGAACATGTAATCGCATCTTTTTTCAAAGTGATTTGTGACGCCGCGCAGGGAGAAACGAGCAGTCGAAGAAAACCTCTCCCGGGCACACCGGCTGATCGGAAATCAGTTGCAGGATTGGGGAGGAACCCTCTGCGGGGGTGAAGTCATCGCTACCTTTGACACCGTGATCCCAGGTAACAGACCAGAGCTTTTCCAGCCTCTGGTGCCTGATGTCTTCCACCCCTCCACCCTGGTCCTCAGCGCCTGAGCTCCCAGAACAGAATTCCCAACCTCCATATGGATTAAAAAAAAAAAAGAAAGAAAGAAAAAGAGAGAAGCTGTTAGGGTGAAAACCGAAACAAACAAAAAAACAAACAAAATCCACGCCAGCCAATAGCTCATTTCTTAGCTGTTGAGCAGGCTTACACTCACCATGAAGAGAAATAGATTCAACAGATAAAATGAAATTACAGAAAATCAAAATGAGAAGTGGAATGGCATCCTCTCCTTTTCTTTTCTGTCAGCCTCCGAAGATGAGAGGTCCACCGCCCCCGCTGCACACTTCCTCCTCTTCGAGCCCCCTCCCCCCAGCCTGGGCTTCCCTCGCACTCCACTGAGAGTGTACTCTAAACTCAGGCACTTTTCTGAGGGGTCAAGTCCAGTGACCCATCCTCTGCCCAGCATCGCTTTGATCTCCCTGCAGCCTCCTGGCCTACAGGCCTTCTGTCTGCCTCTCTGGCCTCCTCTGCTGACCCTTCTTGTCCTTTGAGGACAGTAACTGGATTCTTCCAACTCTTTATCTCCCACCATCCCATGGGTGCTGTCTTCTGACTTGAACCTGGACAGGTCCTGATTTTGTGGGGCCTGAAGCTTGTATAACTCTTGAGGGAGCTTTTTAAAGAAGAACAATAAAAACTTCCAAACACAACACTAGACATGTGTCCTTGGAAGTGTCCGGGGAAAGTGAGGGGCATGAAAACTTGAGTTCCGAGGTAAATCCGCTTCTGATTTCACTCTATGATGGTGAGCCGTGAATCCTTTTTGTCCCTGGATATCTCAAGTCCAAATTTAGTGTCCAAAGTCAACTCATCTTTCTCTCAAAACTAGTCCTCTTCCTGTCCACACCCCTTACTTAAGACTTGATTTTCAAAATTTGAAATCCCAGCTTTCCTCTGGCTCTTTTTCTCTTCTAAATTCCTTATATCCAAGTGTTTGCCAAATTTGCTGCTCTTACATCTGGACTTTATAGCCACTGCCACTGCACTAGCCCCCATTACAGAAGGGGGAACTGATATCTATCTGCTGCCGGCCATGTGTCAGGCATCACACTTGATTCTCACAACAATCCTAGAAACCCTACATTCTGTATTTTTCTAGCTTAGAGAAGTTAAATTGGAGTCCTGCGTCCACTGCCTCAGTGTTCTTTCTCCTTCTCTTCTTTTCTCCCTGACTCTGCTCTCAGGTCAGTGTTTTTAAAAGTCTGATTTCATCACATTACCTACCTGTTCAAAACCTTCTGTAGGTTCCCATATGTGCCTACAGGAGAAAGATGGCATTCTTCAGCCCGACACTCCAGAAGCATCCTACCTTCATCTCCCACAGTCTCAAGCATCCTGTTTCACTCAAGCAGCGCTGGGTGCGGCCCCTGAACGTGTCATGATTATTCGACTCTTATTTTGTATGCTGTGCATATTAGGAGGCCAAAAAGTCCCCGAATAGAGCAGAGCACAGCTCTCAAATAGAGTTAATGTCTCGAGGGATTGGATTGAAGCCTGCAAATCTAGAGGACAATATATTCTTTGTCTATTAATATGCTTATTGTTAGCCACTCCCTCATCTCACCGAGGTGCATGCTTGAGGGTTAGGACTTGCCATCCGCCTCTATCTCCAGAGATGTGCCAGCCACTCTGTCAGCAAGCAAGGCTGGAAAGACACCTCGAGCCAGGGGGGCCTAAAGTCAGCCCAGCCCCTGGAATTTGCGGCTACTGCCCAGGGCTCTTGAGCAGTGCACAGTGTGGCCAGCTTGCACTTTTTCAAGCAAGCCAAACGTCTCAGGGAGAGTGTTAGTAGCTTAGCATGGCCCAGGCAACAGGCCTTACAACGTGCCAGTTCCAAGCTCTATGGAAGAATGCTCTCAGTGCAGCTTGCTCTTCCCTCTCCCCAGGCTGTCCCTTCCAGATTGCTCCATGCCCTTTGCTCAATTCATGTTTCCTTCTTCTGGTGTTATCTCCTCAGCCCTGAGAAGCTTTCAGTTTCTCCTACATACAGCATTTTGTATTTGAATCTGGCATTAGGAGCCATTAAACAAAGATTTCAAACCAAAATGAATCAAATTTCAGGATCCTTTCTAAAAAAAAATACCTTACTGTTCTAAAATAGCCTTATTTGCTTAGGGGGTAAGTCTAACCCGTGAGCTGACTTCCTGGGGCTCCAGGGAACCACAGTGGACACACTGAAATGAGTCCCCTCTGCCATGGGAGTGAGGCATCAAACTGATTTTTAAATTTCTCTCTCTCTCTCTTTCTCTTTCTCTCTCTCTGATACAGACTGAGACTTACTTAATCTTTATTCTTCTTAAAACGTATCTGATGAGATCAGTTTTTCTGTATTTAGATTATAGGCTGTGTCCTTACTCTTAAAATTGGAAACTGCAAAAGAAACGAACTCCACCAACTCTAGTTAAACAGACTTGCAGACAAAGACTCACTAACCCTTCTAGCAACAGCCATTTCTCAGAGAAGTTGCTAGACCTCGTTTCCTTCAAAGGATGGAAAGCGTAAAATAAAATCAGCACAATTGTTACTATCGCTGTGAATGCAAATTTGCATCAAATGTCTTATTGGCAAAATGCACACACTATATTGCTCTAATTTCCCAAAGAACTTTGAACTGACAAAATGATGTTTTATTTTTGCAGGCTAAGAAATTTAAATAGTTGCCTTTAAATATAGTAAGTAATGACTAGGCTCTGATCATTAAGAAGGAGAAACTTTTTTTCTGGATGCTAAGTAGTGATTTCTGAAAGTTTTAAATAGAAAATGCTTCCACATGTGATGTTGATATCCATAGCAGCATCAGCAGCATTTCCCTCGCCAGAAGTAAATACAGGTACTTTGTTAATACCAGTGCCCGGTTTCTTTGAGGGTAGGATTGATTAAGGACCACGCTTACCCAACATATAGGAATGAGGTAATTAGACATCCGATGACCTTTGTCCCTGCCTATCTATGTTTCCTTACAGCAAATTGTCCATTTTCTCTTTTCAGGGGTGTGTGTGTATGTGTGTGTTTTCGAGGCAAGATGGAAGATGAAACTAGGGAAAGAGACATACTGTATATATCAGAATTTTTACCCCAAAAACCTTCAGCTAGGCCTTTTTTTTAGTTGACAATTGGTACAGTCCTTAGAAAATTGGTTGGTGTTAATTGTACATGTCGGATCTGGCTATTATCTTATTCAAATTTTAAGGAGAAAAATAGCTTTAAAACAACAAAAAAGCGAATCACTTCTTTCCACTACCCATTGTTGAAAACAAGTGTGTGAGTCTCTGCAAGAGGAATTGAGTTAAAGAGTATGTCAGATGCCAATTTCTTTTCCTACCGGTTTTAACTGTTTTCAAGTTGTTTACCCTTCTAAGAAGTGAGAAGAGCAAATAGTAATTTGAAACCATAACACACACAGTATAGGCAGTCCCCAAACAGAAACCCAATAAATCAACAATATTGGTATGTGGGGTGTGTTTGTGTGTGTGTGTGTGTGCGCGCGCGTGTATGTGTGTTTCCCTGGGGAAATGCTATGTGCACGTCCCATGCAAGACTTTGTAGGGCATATAAAGGTGGGCAAAAGGACATGTTGGTGGCTTTGCAATTTGTAAAGCCTTTTTTACTCCCCTTGAAATTGGGTGTATACTTCGTTTAGCAGACCAGTTATGAACGATCCCTTTGCGCTAAGCTTCTGTTTTTAGTAAGAAGGTAAATACTTTGGATATGATAGCAAACAACAAAACCAGCCCGTAACAATTAGTATCTTAATATTTCTCAAGGCAGATTTATAGAAATAATTAAAATGGACCATTGGGGAGAAAGTAAAGAGAGTTAGGCTTTTAGTGGAAATACCATCATTCAAGTTTTGACTGGCTTAGGCCATAAAGAAATTTCCTACCAAAACTCTTAAGCATCACAGTTAGCTCACCTTTAACATCCTCTTGTGGGCCTGAGCGGGCTAAAACTAAAAGGGGTGCATTGGGGTTAAGCCAGGACTTCTCTTTCCATCCTCTCTCCTAACTTGCTGGCCGCCCCTGAACAAGAGCCTCCTGTATTTGATGGAACTCAGAGGGGTGGTACTAAGCATTCAGCCATTTGTAGTTTAAAGTGGATGAAAAAGTTTTCCCTCACTTTTCTAAGTTCCTTTTATCTAGTATTTTTGTGCGTATGATCAACTTTTGTGTGTTAAATTGTATATCAGGTCATAAAATTTATCGTACAAAGTATCTTTTGATTGGTGGTGATTTCTCAGGACAAGAGAAAAGAGTAAACGACTTTACTTTTAATTTTTCTTGAGATGTTGCTGGTTTTCTAAGTAAAACCCTGGGCTCACTCCCCACCACACCTCTTTGTTGAAGACACAGGTAAATGAATTTCTGAATTTTTGAGTTTTGAATTGAATTGTGTCAGGCTTCCTGGGGAGTGATTGATGGGCTGTGTCACTGGGGTGTCTGTGTTACATGGCAGGGGGGGTCAGAGGGGGTGCAGGGCAAGCACGCAATTAAACACCGGACTTTAATTTACACTGTACAATGGAATTATTTTTATGCCGGAAATGGCTTCACACATACACACACACAAAAGAGGTAATTTTTCTTCCCAGGGAAATTGAATACCCTCTCACTGTGGATTCTTATTTACCTCAAGTTTGGGGACACAAAGACACATCATATTTGTAATTTTAAGAGGAGTATAAATAAGGGAAAGCAGAGAAAATGCTAGATGTTTACACATCTTCATTCACACATCTTCATTCCTCTCTCTGTACCCGCCATTATCAAAGATCTGAACATATTTTCTAGCTTTGTGTTCTTTCCTTTACAAGCATGCCCTGTTCATAGTTGATCTCAATAAGAAGTCTAAATTCTGAGGGCGTCTACTTGCCCGCTGGCCATAATCAGGTGAAACCTCGTCTACTGAAGGGGAGAGCAGAGGAAGGAATTCTACCCCAGCAGCTCCACTGCACAAGGGCTCATAAAAAAGGGGGCCCCATGTGATCCCCAAGCTCACAGTACAGAGTCTACAGAAGTCATGTGATGGTTCAAAGACCTTTGTCCTGTGTGACAGGCTGGGTAGAGGCACCATAAAGAAATCAGAGGGGCTAATTCAGAAGGCTGGAGCAGGCACAGGGACGTAAGAAAAGAAGGGAAAGCCATGGAGATTATGACTCACCCCCAAATTTTTATTCCCATCCTGATTTTTAAGAGAAGTCACACGTCATTCTACTTTAGACAAAGCTCTTGAGACAACCAGCAAAGACATGTTTTGCATGTGTGTCTTCCCTGTCAAAATAAGCTTATTTCTTCTTCATTAGGCTGCAATAATTGAAACGACAATAAAGGACTTTATCAGAATTGTTTTCAAATTACAGAAAGCCATTTTTGCAGATTCTAAGGCTTCCTCAGGCGACCTTGAAACACTCATGCACCCCAGTCCTTGTGTGCCTAGTTATAACCCACACATTCAGCTAGGTAACTAGTTATTAATTTCTTTTTCTTCTTAAAAATGGGAACAATCAGGTTGACCTCCAGATGGAAACTAAGGTCACATATTAAACTGCTAAATCTTCTGACCAACAGTTCTCTCCTGATGACCTAGAAGCTGTAGACAAATTCTGCCTCTTTGTCCAAATATACTCTAGTGCTACCAGGTGAAAAAGGATCAAGCATTCTGTTAGTCTGACTGGTAGGGGAAAAAAGTGTTCAGACTCGAAGCCTACAAAGAAATAATATTGTACTATATTTAAGATTTGATTTATATGAGGTTTAGTTTGACAATATGGATAGGACCATTTCTAGTGACCAAGCTGCCATGGTAGAATGGTAAAATGCACCCTTCTGCACCCAACACACACAGATGTGCAAGACATTCCAATTTGGAACTGAAGGCTGGCTGCTTCCACACTCAACCACTAATAGTATGTTCCGCGCACTGGTCCCTCCCCTCTCCACACCATTCATTCCCAGGATTTGTGTAGACTTTCTCCCCATTAAACCAAAAAGTTTGAGGGCATGGCTGTCTTATTCATCTTCACATCTCAGTAGTAGCTACTCCAGCGCTCTGACAATAGAGTTAGTCAGTGTCTCTGCCAACTAAACTTGGTCCTCATCACCAGCAAATGACACCAGTGGACCTCTAGTCCTTCAAAGCTAGAGGCTCTGACAATGATAATCGTCATTATTGGCAAAACTGAACGCCTTTTGTGTGCAAGGCACATAGATGGCTACAAAAATGTTCAAAACAGTTCTGCCCTCAAGAGGATCGGAATGGAATTCCAGAAGGGAATCCATCAGATGAGACTCAAACTCTTTGAAGCAGGATATAAGAGCACATGGAGAAAACAGCCAGATAGCATAACATTTCATGGCGAACTGAAGAAATGTAGACGTGCATAGATCAGTCAGGGGAAACATTTCAGAAGACATGCCAATGCTCGACCCAAAGCAGTGCAGCCCAGTGCTGGCTGCAAACACCTCCAGCCTTGACACGGTTTTGCAAGAAAAGTGATTGGGATGGAGTTCTCTCTTCTGAAATTTGATAGTGGGTTGAGAATGGAAGCATGTAACTGTGATCCTCTCCTCCTTTTAGGACAACACCAAAGAGACAGGGATTCCTGATTTCAAACGAGGAGGGGCTAAGCATGCCCTTGGTAAGACAGCTGTCTGCTCCATCGCTGCTTGGGTAATCTGCTTCCATAGGCTGGGTGAACAAGATTCCAAAGAGGCTACTGTAAGGAAAAAAGATATTATAATATGAAAAGTCAGCACCCTAGAAATTAATCATGAATGAAGTTTTTCTTAATTGAGTGATCTCAATTCACCGCTAGTGAATAGGAATTCACATAAAAATGAGCCAAAAGAACTAAACAGGCAGCGTTCTTCCTAGAATAAGTCAAGGTCAGTGTTGGGGTCACTGGCAAGGAAGTCTGGAGTAGCTTGGACTGCAACTATTGTCTTGGGAAAAAGACTTGTTTTCATGGCTCTAGGCATGAGCACAAATGGTGACTCCAAAAGCTTGAAAACCCAAAGAGAGCACTACAGCCTCTCATTATGTCATATATATATATTTTTTGGTGAGAAAGATTGTTGCTGAGCTAAGATGTGTACCCATCTTCCTCTATTTTGTATGTGGGATGCTGCCACAGCATGGCTTGATGAGCAGTGTGCAGGTCCACATGTGGGATCCAAACCCGCGAACCCTGGGCCTCCAAAGTGGAGTGTGCAAACTTAACCACTACACCACCAGGCCGGCCCCTGTAATTTTTTTTTTTTAAATTTCTAAAGGACAAAGAGGCAAATTAGGACCAGATCCTGCTGTGAAGCTTTAATACTTACTTTCTCTTCCCTTGTGACTTTAGGCAAGGTCTCCTATATTAAAAAAAAAAAAAAAAAAAAAAACCATTAGACTTAGGCCGTTCATTTGCAATGTCTAACTAATTTCTCTTGTTTTATGGCTGGCTTAATTGGAGGAAAATGCTAACTGAACTTCACAAGGAAGTATAGCGAGTGTTTTTAGATAAAGTTTAAAGAACAGAAAGACATGGTTTAAAAGACAATACCATAGGAAATCTAAATGATGAATTAAGGTCTAGCCTTCTCCAGTGGCCAACACTAGTCTAAGAAGAAACTGTTAGACCCATTTCAGGGGCCATCTGAACCTCTTGAAGGTGTTACTGGAATCAGGTGATGAAAGTCAACATGGGTAAGCTGACCAGTCATTCAGCAAATACTCATGACCGTTTAAATTTACATAGATTTTTTTCAACCCACTAGATAGTACCAGTGATTATATAGTAACCATTGCCATGGTAAAAACTCACTTCTCAAAACATTGTCTCGGCTTTTTGCTGCTTCTATTATTGGTGTAAACTAGTTAGAAGACTTTAATCCACAGAATTTTCCTTGTTCTGACTTAAGGTAGGGGTGAGGGAACAGGAAACAGAGAATTTAAGAACAATGTAAACATCCATTATTTATTTGGGGAGTTCTTTAAAGATTTAAGCTATTTTATTAATTTAAGAAGTGTGAATTAGGGGAAATTTGGCCAGCTCATGAAATACTTTTCAGCTTGAAAATGTTATTAAAAATTATCAACGTACAGATATAATTTATTTTAAACAGTCTAAGTTGCTAAAATAAATGAAGCTATAAGCAGCTAAGTTTAAGAAATCTGGAGTAATAGTACAGAATGGTAGTACATGAATATTTATGAGAAGAGGGGAAAAAATTGAGACAGAAGAAACCATTGGCATTAAGCTAAAATAAAGTTAGTGTTTTATTTTTGGGCTTAACTTTCCATATAGTTTCCAACAGCTATTTAGAAAGTTGAGGAGAAACAAGAGAGAGAAAAATCTAGTTTAGTAAACGTATGTTTTCCTACATGACTTCTTTTTTCTTTTTTTTTTGAAGATTAGTCCTGAGCTAATATCTGCTGCCAATCCTCCTCTTTTTGCTGAGGAAGACTGGCCCTGAGCTCACATCCGTGCCTATCTTCCTCTACTTTCTATGTGGGACGCCTACCACAGCATTGCTTGCCAAGCGGTGCCATGTCCACACCCTGGATCCAAACCAGTGAACCCTGGGCCACCGAACTGGAACATGCGAACTTAACTGCTGTGCCACCGGGTGGGCCCCATGACTTCTTTTTTCTAATTAGTCTTGTATCCTAAACTATTTCTGCTTCTTCCATTGCCCAGTTTCTGTAATTTTTACTGATAAACAGAAAACTGTTCAACTTTACCCTTTCTTGAATTTCTCTGTCTCCAAGTACAAACCAATGTCTTTCACATGCTAGAAGGGGGATTCTGATAAGTGCAGGAGTGAAGCAAGCAGCGTCATTGGCTGTACCAAAAAAACCCTGATTGCCACCCTGGTGCAAGAGGGGAAAGTGCGAAAGAATCCTCCCTGCATTTCTGGACCAAATACCCTAGGTTTTTTAAACGAAAATTTTCAAAAAAGGAAAAGTTGAAAGTAGTACAGTGAAACCCCACATATCCACCCATTTCAACAATTGCTAACATATTTCCATATTTACTTTAAGACATCTTTCTCTCCTTCCTTTTCTCTTTCTCTCCTCCAGCTTTCCCTCTATGTGAGTATGTATGAATGTATTTGTTTTTGCTGAACCATTTAAAAGCAAATTGCAAGGGGTGGGGTGAAGGTGAAAGGGGTAAAGGGGCACATACACATAGTGACAGATAGAAACGAGACTATCGGAGGTGAACACGATGCAGTCTATACAGAAGCTGAAATATAATAATGTACACCTGAAATTTACAGAATGTTATAAGCCAATATGACCTCAATAAAATATAATAAAAGTAAATTGCAGACATCATGCCATTCCACCTTTGAATACTCTAGGCATGCATCTCCTATAAGGCTATTCCCCTACATTATCACGATATAATATCATACCTAAAAAAATTAACAGAAGTCCCTAGTGGCATCAAATACACATTCAGCCTATTCAGTTGTTCCCCAAATGTTTTACATAGCTATTTTTTGAACTGTGATCTAAAGTGTATTTTATAACAATATTTCTAAAATAATTTTTTCCTTTGTGACTGACTTTTTGAAGAAACCAAGCCAATCATTTTGTAGAATGTCCCAGATTCTGAATTTATCGTTGATTCCTCATGGTGTCATTTAACTTATTCCTCAACCCTCTGTATTTTCTGTACACTGGAATTTCAGGCAAAAGTCTTGATTAGTTTCAGGTTAAACAATTCCAGCAAAAATATCTCGTAAGTGATATTGCATAATTTATATTGCATTATATCTGGAGGCACATGATTATCAGGTGACTAGTGATGTTAACTTTGATCACTTGAGTTAGATCGTAAGCACAAATCTCTCATTAATGGTACTTTTTCCCCCTTCACATTGAGTAATATGTGGTGTAGCGTTTTGGTATTATGGACATAATCTGTTTTCCTTCAATCTCTAATGATTTTAGTATCCACTGGTGATCCCTGTGTGAATCAATATTTCAGTGGGGGCTGCAAAATGATTTTTCTAATTCTGCCAATTTCTCTACATTTTCTTTAGCTGGCTATTCTTGTGTAAACATCGTGGTATCTTAGGTAGCAACCTGGCATTGATTTCAAATAAATTATAAGTGTACTGCCTCCTTTGTAAGTCATTGAGATGAAACAGCGGTGCAACCACCAAATGCTTTTCTGCATTTGAATTTTGTATAAAAAAACTGAGCAAATTTTTTGGTACATGGCTCCTTTGAGGTAAGAACTATGCAAGGAGTTGGGAATAAAAAGGCACACACTACACCTTTCTCAAAAGCTTAGAGTCTAGCCATAAGTATCTATTCCTCAAAGGAAAGAATTATAATTATCTGCCTCAAACTTTGGGTAGTTTTTCATAAAAAGCTTCCTAATATAGAATTAGAAGTCATTTCTGGGGAGGAGAAAAGTAAAGTCACATATATAAATAATTTCAGTGCTTTGCTATTCTAAAAACTCCATAAGTTAAAACTTTTCAGCAAGCCGACAGGAATAAAGTTATCTTTCCTCTCCATACCCCATAATACCCTCCACTTATTTGAATGGGAAAAAAAAAGTGTTTTTTACGGTCAGAGTTTGCTTTTTCTTTAGAACTTTAATAATCAAAGGCCCAAGATATAGTGAGGACTAATATGGTTTAAATTTTTCTTCCTCATGTGCCCCATGCCAGCAAGGTGTACATTTCACCCCTAAGATATTTATACAAACACGTACACCTGTACCAAAAGCAGTGCTATGGAAGTCTAAATCATGGAAAGCTACTTTAGTTTAAGATCAACAAAATGGTATCTTGTTCCTCTTTCATCTTCCTCATGAATCAACAATTCATGATAAATCATAGTTGCAGAAAGCTCACAATCTTAGACAGAGGATGCTTCTGGCAAAACCCAGCGTGGGCCCAAACAAAACAAACTGTGGTTTTGGTTTAGTGTGGAAGTTTCATTTGTAAAAATGTCACTGAAATTCCCAGCTCTGATAGTATATTAATCAATTAACTGCACAGAAATAGGGTTACGGTTCTCAGACTGGGTCTAATTTCCTTTCCTCACATGGATCGTCTCCTCTTTCCATTTCAGAGTTAATACTAGAAAAACAAATAGTTCTCATTTAAAATTCATAAATTACTGAGTCAATCTTTATTTCACAAAAACAAAGCTGAACTTCACAGTTTCCTGTACATTAGGAGGACCACTTGGCAATTTATTATAAAGGCTCATTTATGCCAAGAAACCTGTTGAGCAGGAAACCTTCAAGTGGGAACATGGACTAGAATTTAATGAAAGTCCTGAAAAGAGGAAGAAAGCTGTTTGCATTGTCTTTCTGTTTTAATAGGTCTTGCTATATTGTAAAAGTAGTAAAGAATGTGTGGCCTGTGGAAAAGCTTTGAACGAATGCAAAATAAAACTGGCCTTCTGATCAGAAAATAGTCTATTCACTGGATAGTCTTATTAGGCTATATAAAAAACTGCAATCTTACAGGGGGAATCAGAGTTTTTAAGTGCCCAAATTTGATTAGAATTGAGTGAAGGCTCTCTGATGGTCTCACCTCTCTTAGGCAACTAAAAGGTTCAAGAAAAGAGCTGGTGGCAAAAGATATTTAGGAATATTATTACAGAATATAGGTAGTCTTA